CTCTCTCTCCCTCACACTCAGTATCTGTCTCCAGCCTTCTAGGTCCACCTCTACACGCCTCCCAGCACACACAAAATACATAAGCTTGATGTAGTAATGATGTTTAGACAAACCGGTAAATACCTACACCCACAAACACTCCCTAATGATTACACACGGACACAAACACGCCTAAATACATTCATATAAACATGCCTTTATACACACACACACACGAGATAATTATACAAGATGAAGACATCTTCCAAAAATATGAAATTACTAGGATCAAAGAGACTTGAGTCAGAGAGAGAGAGAGAGAGAGAGAGAGAGAGAGAGAGAGAGAGAGAGAGAGAGAGAGAGAGAGAGAGAGAGAGAGAGAGAGAGACAGAAAGCGGGATATTTATAAAGATAGAGATAGAGATAGAGATGATATAACTAGTGATAACCAGTTATCTCCTAGGAACAGGATAACAATATATGCTAGAGAGACTATACATCCTATATCAGAGCACAACATGGAGTCGATATATCCCCAAAACTGCTGCCGCCAAAGGCACACATTTCAGCATTCTGTAAACCACGTATGTGGGACTAATATCTGATTATGCATCGCCGGCAAGGACCCCTCGTCTGGTTGAAAAAAAAGTTGGCTTTCCCATGAATATAGATAAATACATTACGGATAAAGGGTAAGCAATCCATAGCTCACCACAAGGGAGTAACAGCGATTGGGCATCCTGTCTAGGACCCCCTGAACACATCCTACATAGGACCCCTTGGACACATCCTACATAGGACCCCATGAACACATCCTTCATAGGACCCCCTGAACACATCCTACATAGGACCCCTTAGACACATCCTACATAGGACCCCATGAACACATCCTACATAGGACCCCCTGAACACATCCTACATAAGACCCCTTGGACACATCCTCCAAAGGACCCCCTGAACACATCCTACATAGGACCCCCTGAACACTTCCTACATAGGACCACCTGAACACATCCTACATAGGACCACCTGAACACATCCTACATAGGACCCCCTGAACACATCCTACATAGGACCACTGGATATAGAGCTCCCAGGAGAACTGATCCTCTGAGAAGCGGACCTTTCCCTGTGGAATCCAATCCTTTAATGAGAAGGATTTTTGTTACAGCTTAATTGACGTATATTGAAAGGGATTCTATATCGAGGCGTCTTAGAGATTTTTTATATATGGATTCGGTTCGAGGATTTGTCGTAATCTGGATCACTTAAAGGATTCGATTCTCCATGAAAGAGATTGGAAACCCTTCTGAAGG